GATTCTCCTTCAATAACCTTAATATTGCTAGCACTGAATTCGTAGCCAGGAATGATTGTTCCCTGTTGAGTGTAACTTCACGACCATTGTATATATGTCAAAATTGCAGTATTAGTGTTATCATTATATGTTGCTCATTGATAAAGTTAATATGCATTATAGATTGGTAGGTCTGTTGGTTGCCTCCCTCATTTGGAAGCTTGTGAGGTAACTTCTGGAAAATTTTTTTTTCTTCTTCTTTTGAAAAGGGGTTTCGTAGGGTGGTGGTGACACACACCTTTAATCCTAGCACTCAGAGGCAGAGCCAGGCAGATCTCTTTGAGTTCGAGGCCAGCCTGGTCTACAGAGTGAGTTCCAGGAAAGGCGCAAAGCTACACAGAGAAACCTTGTCTTGAAAACCAAAAAAAAAAAAAGAAAAAAGAAAAGGGTTTCATATAGCCCATGGTGATTTCAAATGCATTGCACTGTATAAATGACTTTAGATTTCTAAAACTTTTGCTTTTACCTCCAGAGTTCTTAGATTCCAGATGTCTCCACTGTGACCCACTTACGTAGAATGCAGGTCCTTATGCTGCCAAGAGAAGTATTTTTTGGGCTGCATGTCCAGCCCATTTTTATCTCTTCATTAAACAATGTATTACAGAAAACTATTTATTAAGATCTGAAGAAACATGGTAATTATTTTAAACATCTTAGACAAATGACTCAATAAAAACTTCCTAAGTATCAATGATTGCAAAACATTGGAAAAAGATGTTGTAATCATTGTGATTGTATTATAATTATTATTTGATTTAATCAATGATATAGGCTTATAAACGATATATTTTGATTTCTGTTAATGAAACTACACTGACCAGTACTTTGTAAAAGGACAATGAGTATACTTAACCATTGCATTTTCTGAAGCTTAGATCTCTTTGATCCTATAAATACAACAAACAAGAGCAGGAGGCTTAGAACAAAATTAAACTTGTTCATTCACACAAAAGTGGATAAAGAAAACAACACGAGCCATGTAACTACTGGAACATTAATAGTAATGTTACACTTATTGTATCAAATGAATAATACTTTTAGGATTAGGATAGAGTGTGAAACTCTATTTCTTCATATTTTAACATCAACATATACAGAAGATATTTTCATGTAATTTAAAGTTTTCCTAAATGTTCATCGCCAATATTACCATGAAATTTTACACTTATTTGTATTAATTTATGCATATTTATAATTTATTTGAGTACATCCTATTTTAGTCACATCATTTTGATCCAAATGTTATGTTTAGAAAACGCTCCAATGTCAAAGAAAGTTGAGATATTTTACCTTCATTTGTTCATTTAATAATCAGTGGTGGGTCTTATTTTGATGGTGCTTTTTTTTTTTTTTTTTTTTGGTTCTGGAGAATTAAAAGTAAAACAAACCCTTTCATTTCACAGTGCTCTTTCTGACAAGGGTATGAAATCAGATGTGTACAGAAACAGATACAATACTGTCCTGACGATCATACAGTACCATTCAGCAATGACAGTTCAAGGTTGATAAATACACAGCAGGGAGGTCCCGGGCCTTTTGCTTTATATTCTTTTGCATTTGCAGGCAGTTTCAGAGTGCAACGTTAACTTAAACACTCAAGTTGTACTTAGGCCTTTCTTGAATCATCAAGTGTATTTGATGCCTAACTTCACACCATTATTTTGATAAATAACTGTTACTATTATGTTAGCTTAAAACCACATAAAATGCATATTCTTTTACCCAATCAAATCATTATGATATTTGTCGTGGGTAGCCATTCCAGCTTTGATCTGGAAGTTCCAACCCCCATTGAGACTTCGGCAATGTCACGCCTACAAGGCGGGGCCAAGGGAGGCGCCTGGGGACCCGAGAGCTAGATCGGCGGGCGCTCTCTCTGTTGCGGGACCCTGGACTGGAGAGGTGGACCGAGCAGAGCTCCAGAGAACACCGCTGGACTGCGATACACCTTCCCCAGACTCCGTGACCTACCTATTCCTTAATTTGTAAGTTACACCATTAAATAAATCTCCTTTTAACTACGTGGAGTGGCCTTAATAATTTCACCAATATCTGGCGCTCACGTGGGGCAAGTTCCAAAGGCCTGGGTGGCTCCCGCCCTCAGCCTCCTCCCCGGCTGGCGGGTACCTAAACCCGCCTGCAGAGAGAAACATTAGGTGACTGTCCAGGCTGCCAGCTGTCTCCGTCTACTCTCGCAAGATTCCCGAAAGTTGCTTGCATCCATCTACCATTTCTCAGGTACCATTATATTCCTTCTCAGGTCTTTGATGGGATTGAAGACTAGCAGTTATAGTTACAACTTAGTAGATAGAATATATTAAGTATTAGATTCAGGTTCTTTAAGATAGGACACCTTTTGGAATGATCTTTGTAACATGCCATTTACCTATGCTCTACACTTCTCTGGATTTTAGTATGTGTTTCTTGCTTGATATTGTTTGCATTGGTTGTAGTTCCATCTTATCTAGGTCATTATCCCTCGTTATTCCTGGACAATATTTGATAACCATTCCTTTGTATATAGTCTTGTATTAGGTCAGAACTTTCTTATTTAGACAAAAAGGGGGAGATGTCGTGGGTAGCCATTCCAGCTTTGATCTGGAAGTTCCAACCCCCATTGAGACTTCGGCAATGTCACGCCTACAAGGCGGGGCCAAGGGAGGCGCCTGGGGACCCGAGAGCTAGATCGGCGGGCGCTCTCTCTGTTGCGGGACCCTGGACTGGAGAGGTGGACCGAGCAGAGCTCCAGAGAACACCGCTGGACTGCGATACACCTTCCCCAGACTCCGTGACCTACCTATTCCTTAATTTGTAAGTTACACCATTAAATAAATCTCCTTTTAACTACGTGGAGTGGCCTTAATAATTTCACCAATAGATATTTATTATTTTTGATTATTCAACCAATGCAGTTCTAAATCCTCATATGTGTGTCAGTAACTTGTTTAAGGCTTTTTTTTATATTATTTCTGTCACATCTTCTTATACACTGAATTAAGATATTTTGATTGATTTAGATCCATATAAAAGTAAAAAGTCAATTTGTTACTATATTAAATTAGTTTAACTTATAATAGTAAAGAACATCAAACTCTCATCCTCACAAGAATATGAGCTTGGAGCTTAGAATGGTGTTGAAGTAAAACTGCCTTTCTTTATGAGGTAGCACAAGTTGCCATGGGCCAATAGTTTAAATGAAGTTTAGAAATCATTGTAGTCATACCTTTCAAATTGCGTGGTCTTAAGATTAAAATGATTTTGAAAGACCATGCATAATTTCACATATTTTCATAAAATAAAATTTTGATTGAAGTTTTAAAATTTATTTCTGATGGTGGGACATTTTCAGAGTGTCTTGGCCATAACCTCTTATATAACCTATTTCAAAAGTGAGCAGATGAAAACTATCAATAATGCAACTGTAGGCCAACCAGTTATCAATTTCCATGAGTTATCACAAGAGTTATCAAAAAGAACGGGTAAGAGTTGACACCAGGCTCCCAGCAACGATGTAACAAAAAAGAAAAGTTTTATTTTGAAGTCACCATATTGTTAATGACAGAGGTAAGGTCTCCAGGAAAATCAAATTAGCTTATTGTGGCTGAAGGCTGTAATAATCCATGCTGCTTTCATGAGCTCACCTTGAATTGTAGAAATTAGACTTTCATTGATCTGAAACCTGTAATATTTTATTTCAATGAAAATTTGGACATTCAAACATCTAATACAGCATGGTTTTCTTCCTAAGTTGGCTCGGTGACAGTTGCCAGAAGAAATATGGCCATGTTTTTAAATAGCTTTCTGATGCTGAGCTGACCTCTGGTATTGAATGTTCCATGTTTCCTTTCAATGTGAAGCAAGGTTTGTGCATTTTCAAAACCTGACAATGTCACAAAGGAACTAAAGAATAGTTATTCTCTGAACCTTGAAAGTGACTTTTGTGTGGCATGCAGGAAAATAGGGTGAACATTTACCCTGTGGAACATTTCAGTTTTCCAGCACAAAGCTGTGGTATAAAGTAGCCCTTTTTTTCTGAGAATTTCAGGTAAGTTAAATCCATATGCACTCTTAGAAAAGACATTTTATTATAACAAGAAAAATGTGTTGATCTAGAGTGGAGTGATTAGGCCATTTGTCAAAGAGAGTTACTGTTTCTGATAGCATTTACAGGTCACACATACTTTTCAAATCTCAATAGGAGTAAGCTTACTCAAATGAAACTTCTCCACCTGAACTGGTACAACTGATTAAGAGCAAAGAATGAAGTACTCTGTGAAATATTTTATACCTTACATTCATAAACTAAAGAATTGGAATGGAACTTTAAATGATTATTATATTCATTGAAAAGTTTTGAAAATAAGTACAGAAATTTACTGATTTTCTTGAATACTATGTGTTATGCTACAGCTTTGGACATATTTAATTATCAAACTAATACCATGGCATAAGAACTGTCCAACAATAATATGAATATTCTCTTTAAATGTCATTAAAATTTGAAAATTCAATTCTATTCAGACTTAATATTGTATATATGTCATTTGGCTTTGAAATTTTATGACTGTTTTTCAACATATAGATGTTGAAAATAAACCAATTTTAATTAATATTAAACATTAATAACCTCTTGTAAAATATATTTTTATATGACAAAGATGACTTTAAATGTCTGTATTTTAAGGTATTATATATCTGTAGTAATTAAAGCATTGTATATATATTTACACACATACTATATCTCAGTATTTTTTTTAATCGGGCCTTTATTATGAAACTTTTTTCATTATTTTTCTATGTTAATTTTCTAAGTTAGAATGTCCAAGCAAACAAAAACTTGATGGTTGAAAAACAACATTGTTCTATCAATTCATGTATAAGAGTTACAGTGATAAATATATTTAAATTATAAATTTAAGGAACATTTAGTAACTAAAATTAATTTCTTCCCTGCTAGAAAAGTGCTCACTTTAGCAGCACATATACTAAAATTGTAACAATACAGATAAGATTAGCATGACCCCTGTGCAAGAATTGCACACAAATTCATGAAGCATTCATATTTTTAAAAATAACTAGAAAATTTAGTAACAAAATTATTTTCTTTATTCAACAAAATTTAGACTAAGATTCATTTAAACCAGTGGCACTTTTAGGAAATTTAAATTTAATAACTTGATAATTTGTAATACATTTAAAATACCTCATATATATGTAGCTTAAGTTTTCCTGCCTGGCCCACAGTCAGGACAAATCTCTATCACCTGCCAGTCCCACAGCCCCTCAGACTCAACCAAGTAAACACAGAGACTTATATTGGTTACAAACTGTATGGCCGTGGAAGGCTTCTTGCTAACTGTTCTTACAGCTTAAATTAATCCATTTCCATTAATCTATACTTTGCCACATGGCTTGTGGCTTACCGGCATCTTCACATGCTGTTTGTCATCATGGCGGCTGGCAGTGTCTCTCTGACTCAGCCTTCCACTTCCCAGCTTTATTCTCCTCCTTGTCCCACCTACACTTCCTGCCTAGCCAATGGCCAATCAGTGTTTTATTTATTGACTAATTAGCAACACATTTGCCATACAGAACATCCCACAGCATATATATATGTTTATATTCATTTGTTACAATTAATTTAATATATTTCCTCATTAAAATGTACTGATTTACAATCAAGGTGTGACTGTAAACCAATTTTAAATCAAACAGAAACAAATCTTTGTGTCTTTTACTATCTAAAACTTCTCTGGTGATTTTTTTTCTTTTCTGATTACTTTAAGTCTATTTTGAAGACTTAAATGTAAATTATATATGTAACACAGACTATCTGAGAAACAGATTTAGTTTTGTGAGTAATGAATTAATTCAAAAATCATAAAATAGGAAATTGTGAAAAATTTCCAAAATGTTAAGTTTATCTTACATTGAAATATAAAGAAAAACAAAGATGATTTGATTTAAAAGTTTATTGGATGCTAAAATACGTTATACCTCATAAGAGTTTTTATGTATCATAAAATAATAACTATATGTCCCATAACGTATGTTAGTGCTAAATATATTGTAAAACAATGGTTTTCCTCCTGTAGTATCATAGGAATAGAAAATTCTTATACATGGCATCATATTTTACACTGATTTGTCTCCTAGAAAATCTTGATTCATGAGCTACTCGTGGGAAGAGACTATGCCTGTCAGATAGCAGACATACAGTAATAATTGCTTAAATGAATGCAATAGACAAAGCCAAACATGATATAAAGAATATTGATGCCATTAGGAATATAGATTAGAGTCATGCCAAGAAGTTTCAAAAGTCAGGGGTCTTTTTCCGGATGTTCAGTTTTATTTTTATAATGGGGTAGTGACATTGAAATGACATGAAGTGTCAAGGCTCCAGACATTAATTGGGTAATTGGAGATATTCTCAATTCATTTTAAGTATATTATTCCATGAGCTTTTCTGTTAATATTATGAAATCCATCAGTGCTATTCATCCAACACCTTCAGGCCTTGCCGTATATGGTTTTAAAAGAATTGTCTTCTAATGCTCCTATGGAAGTTAGAGTTTTCAGTACGTGATGTTTCTGGGCAATGAATTGTGGGTGAAGCAGATTTATTACTTGTTGTCATAAGTGTCAAATGGTAGGATTATCATATATTATTTTCCCTATCCTGGTGGTTTAATTTAGGATTTTTAAGTAAAGGGACTAATCTGGTATTTTTGTTTGAGGTTTGTTTGTTTTTGTTGTTGTTTTTTTCCATCATGTAGTGAGAGCTACTATTACACTTCTACTGTTAATTCTGTTGGGTTTTGGAACATTTTGCTATTGAAAAAAATATTCTCAATGACAGCACACTGTTTAAGAAATTGAACTGAAAAATAAAATGTGTGACATTAAACATAAAGATTATTTTCAAAGACCATATCCATCAGGAGTTGTGGGAAATATGTATGGGGTTTTTTCTCAAGTGAACCATATTTATAAAAATAATTAATAATACCATTCTAATTAAAATTCATATGTTCAATAATTTACCATGTCTATGTATTGCAGTGAATGAAAATGTAATTGCTGTAATCATGACAACTGAGAAACAAATTAAGAATATATCTTTTTGTGCAGACCCAAATAAATACAATATGTGTCTATTTGTTTCTGTCATTTAGCTATTCAGCAATGTTTCCTAATAATTCCTTAAATACAAGTGCTTAGTTGGATTATAAACATCAACATCTCTATACACACATTTTCAGGGCTCTTGATTTTTTTGAAACTTAGCATTCCTTGATAGAAATATTGTTTCTTAAAAATAAACATGGACTTCTAGTCTTCCTCAATTATAAAATCAATGCCATAAATTATTTAACAATCTGATACAAAGCTTAGATTTCTTATTTTTTAAATTATCTCCTTAAGTTTTGATTTGTGGATAGCTATTGTTTGAAAGACACAGGGATCGCCCAGCGACGGGGAAATGGATGAGATCTACATGAGCAAACTGGGGGTGATGAGGGGAAGGGTCAGGGGAAAGAGAGTTTAGGGGAGCAGGAGGTTTGAGCTAGATCAGGAACATACTGGGAGAACAAGGAAAGAGATACCATGATAAGTGAAGACACCATGGGAATAGGGAGAAGCAGAGCGCTAGGGAGATCCCCAGGAATCCACAAAGATAACTCCACCATAGACTCCTGGCAATGGTTGAGAGGGTACCTAAGCTGACCTACTCTGGTGATCGGATGGCCAAATACCTTAACTATCATGGTAGAACGATGATCCAGTGACTGATGAAAGCAGATACAGAGATCCACAGTTGTTCCCAGGCAGAGCTCCAGGAGTCCAATCTACAAGGGAGAGGAGGGATTCTATGAGCAAGGGATATAAAAAAACATGACTGGAAAAATACAGAGACAACTAAACAAACTAGTGGAAACACATGAACTGTGGACCAATAGCTGAGGAGTCCCCATGGTCCTGGACTAGGCCCTCTGGATAAGTGAGACAGTTGTTTAGATTGAACTGTTTAGGGAGCCCCAAGGCAGTGGGACCTGGACCTGTCCCTAGTGCATGAGCCTGCTTTTTGGAACCTAGTACCTATGGTGAGACACTTTGCACAGCCTTGGTGCAGGAAGGAGGGGCTTGGACCTGCCTCAACTGAATGTACCAGGCTCTGCTGACTCCCTATGGGAGACCTTTCCTTGGAGGAGGTGGGAATGTGGTTGGGTTGGGGGGGGGAAAGGCTGGGGGTTGGGAGGAAGGAGGACAGTGGAATCTGTGGTTGATATGTAAAATGAATAGAAAATGTCTTAATAAAGAAAATATTTCCTTAAGTTATATTTTCTACGTATGGATTTTTCCTGCAGGTATGGCTATTTGCACATGTATTCTATGCTAGAGAAGGCCAGAAGAGGCCAAAAGATACCCTGGGATTGTATTTACAGAGACTTGTGAATCAACATGAGATGTTGGGAATTCACCCAGGTCCTCTGGTGGAATAGCCAATTTTTTTTCCTGCTCAGCCATCTTTGCAGTTCTCCAAATTGTTAGATTTCTTTTTGTTGACTTTGTGGTTTCAACAATTCCCCTGACAACTATCCAAATAAGTGTTTTACTGTGTGATTTTCTAGCTTATAAAATTTAAGAAGTTTAATAGGCATTTCAGGGAAAATAACATGTTTATGGTTATGTGATACATTGCTAAGGACTAAGAAATAATTAAATAATTATGACTGCTGCTTAAAACAGAATGTGAAACAGAAAATTTTACCTTAACATAATATATTAAAACTCTAGTGTTTATGAAGTATTCAAACATGGAGACTACATAGTAGATTTCTTTCCATCAAGACAGAGTGAGTGAAATGCCCTGAAGAAACAGGAGCTACTAAGGGCTGTAGACTATGCCTTAGAGGTGAAAGAAACTTGGAGCCTATTATTCTTTGATAAAGCCATGCTAGTAAGTTTGTGTAAATATCTACTTCAAGGATAACTCTAAATTGATGTTAATTGATTTGAAGGAAATGCTACTATTTCAGCAATATAATGATTTTTATCTGTAGTGTAAAGGTAATACTTTTCAAATTTTTCAACACTCCAGCAGAAAGTAAGTACTAGAATTCTTTCATCTTACCTACTTTAAAAAGTATTATGGCAGCCTGCTGACCTTGTTTTGGCAGGTGCCAGTAGCATAAACAGGTGTGTGGTGGAGAAATGGGAAAGGGGGAGCAGAACTGAAGACATAAAGGCTATAAGGAATAGGCTGATATGTGTGGCCTACACAGCTACCTGGGGCCATGCTGATGTCTGGGTCCTAGATGCAGTCAAGGACCATTTGTGGTTCCCTGTCCCTACCATAGCTGGAGTCTATGGTGATATTTTAATTTTACTGAAATGTGATTTTATTTGTATGTTAATAAATAAAGTTGCCTGGGGGTCAGAGCTAATAGCAAACCATAGCAGAAACTGGGCGGTGGTGGTGCACGCCTTTAATCCCACCTCTTGTGAGGGAGAGCTAGGCGGATCTCTGTGTGTTCAAGGATACAGCCAGCATGGAGACACATGCCTTTAATCTCAATACCAACCATAGAAGACCTGGAAGTCTGTACAGGCAGGCAGTGACAAGGAGGTCATGTGGTTGGGTTTACAACCAATGAGAAGGCAGAATAGAAAGTCTATAAAAAAGACAAACAGACTGGAAGCCTCTGTGTCCTCATATCCGAATGGCTCTCAGCTGAACTGTGCTGCTAGAAGCCTGAAAGCTTAGCCAGCCAAATACTTAACTAGCCAAATGCTTCTAGTTTCTGGTCCTCATGCCTTATATACCTTTCTGCTTTCTACCACCATTCCCTGGGATTAAAGGCGTGTGTCACCATGCCTGGCCCTTTTTCCAGTGTGGCCTTGAACTCACAGAGATCCAGAGGGATTTCTACCTCTGGAGTGCTAGGATTAAAGGTGTGAGTGACACCATTTTCTAGCCTTTGTATCTAGTGGCTGTTCTGTCTCTGACCCCAGATAAGTTTATTAGGGTGCACAATATTTTGAGGGAACACAATACCACCA